TTCGGCAATATAGGTATATACTAAGTTTCAGTCTTTCTAGTGTTAATTTAATTTAATCAGTTGAGAAAAGAAAATAGTTAGTACATTCTTGACGAAAGCTGGTATTGCATATTAATATGAAAAGTATTCGATATTCGCAGTGTAGGTACCCGCACCGGGCCTATATTAAAACCGAATACCAATATTGAATCTGCCCGATTAATTAGTCGCCGTTTGTATCTCGCTGCTAACGCTGGCTTGTTCCAGTGGAGCTGGGAAGGGGTGTCCTTCTCGTCTCAGTCTCACCCCTCGCCGAGGGGTTGACGGCGAGATCGTCGGATAATTGCGCATGTGCACGGGCACTTGTTACTGCTCGGGCTCGGTCAGTCTCGACTCGGCTGGGCTGAAGGCAACAAGGGCCCCCTTTCTCAAACTGAGTCACGCAGGATCACGGGATCCCCGGGATTCTAAAGATAGCAAAACCGGGGATACGTATCCTGATTGTCGTCGGTAGGCCGCGGACTTCTCTGTAAGTTCGATCATTAATTCGAGGAACCACCGACGTGACAATAAATCGGCTTGTCCGATTTCAAACACTTGCGATATTTATCGTGTCACGGTCCCATTTGTGTTTCTATAAATTTATTTTGAACCCGTGGAGATTCGCGGTCTAATTGGAAATAAAGGGTGAAACGTGGAGAGGAGGTTCAAGTGACGAGTGCGCGACAGGACGTATATACGGTGGTGGTTGGTTGACAAAGTTGTTTTCGGCCGCGATTGATTGCTATTCGCGGCGATGCACAATGTGTCTATCCGATCGACCCAGCTTTTTCAGTTGCGAGTGCTGATAAACGATCCTTGGTAATCCACGGCTATAGCTGCACATAATAAAAAATATATTAAACCAATACGAGTAATAATAAAAATGTAATATCGATTTATTCCACATCGATATTCTATACAATATTGAAACATTTAACGTTCCCATTAATATTGAACAATAACATTCGACGTTAACAGGTGTATTCGAAACGTCGTATGCTCCATTAATTTTGTATAGGAGGAGAATCGATATTCACTTTCTACATTCATATTAAATTAGAATATGTTCGGAAAAAGTAATTGTATTCGGTTAAAAGTATTTGAAGTCATCAGATCGGTGCAGAAATAATTACTATCTTTCATGCGTTTAGTAAAATCATTTTCCTTTTCACGTTTGACGCACTTTTAAGTAGGCTCGCCTGTAAATAATAGCTGACACAGTGTGAGAACTCTAATTATGTTTGCACCGAGTTAATTATTTCGACTATTAAGATTTGGACGTGCAGGAGGCACAAGGTATCCTTGAAAGCACGCTTCCTGGGAAAGTACCTCGACGCATTCCCGGAAAATATGTGTGCCGGGTGCGACGAACCTGGTGAGCGATCTTTATCGGGACGTTTCCATCAGGAAGAGCACGGAAAAGCGATATCGGGGCAAACAAGGTCCTAATACATATGTACGTATATGTTAGCTCGCTGTTAAAACAAGATATATATTCCTTAAGTTAAATAATCCGGAATACCGCCCGGGGGTACCATTATTTAACAAGCGCTTCACGGCTCGTGAATATTGCCTGTACGAGTCATTAAACATTGGCACGAGTGAAAATGTTTTGATGGATTTTATTATACGCTTAATCTATTTAAATAAAATCAATTATTTTCATTGTTTCAAATGCAATATTTAAAATATGATTAAAATTGTTTCAAATATAATTGGAATTAAAGTAGTGGCATTGCATAAATAATCAGAATTAGTAATTTCCTATGACGTTCCTTTTTCTCATTTATTTTAATTTACTGTGTTATAATTTTGCATAGTATTCTGTATTTACGTTGATTTATATTACTTTTGTATTTTTATAAATAAAATCTTATTTAATATTCGAATGTTAGAGACGATTCATTTCAACCCTTTTGAGTTCCTTTCAGTCATTTAATAAGTTCTGAAATTTCTCATGGAGATTCGCTTGGTAACCAGTAACTAAGGTGTATTAGTTATTAAGATTCCCAAATTCCCTTCTTGGTAACCTGTGATTGCTATGTAATTAGTGATCCCGAATACCCTTTTAGACGTAACGCTGCTAATTAGTGATTAACATCCCTAAGCTTCGTCACGGACGCCTTATAATCTGTGGACGCGACTAATTAGTGATTAGACCGAATCGATTCCTTCGTGTTCCTTCAAGAAACAGAACGAATTAAATGATAATTAAATACGTACGAATTTCAAATAATCAATGTGTTCCCTGAGAGAATATAAGAATCGACAGAAGAGTTTACAAGAAGAGCTTCTAAGTGTCCTGTGCAAATAAAACTAATCACAAATATCGTGTATTTATCGTTAAATTAATATCAGAAAACAAACGAGAAATTCTCAGCGATAATATCATAAATATAAATCGCTTAATATATTAAAAAATTATTGTGTGTTCTCTAAAAATAAAATCCTTAAACGGATCGTAAAGTACTCAAGGGATTCCTTGAATAAGAATAAGAAGCCTGTCAGTGTTCTTTGGTGTTTGTGAATTGTTTGACGACGATAGAGAGATTAAGTTGTTCGAGATGGGCTGCGAGCTGGGAAAATTGGCGACGACACCGAAGCCGCAGAACCAGACCAGCGCCACAGATCCGCGACTACCGTTGACGGCGAAACAAAAATTCATCGTGATGGCCAGCTGGAAGGCCGTCTCCAGAGAACTCGAGGCCACCGGCGTCTTCATGCTTATAAGGTTCGTCCATACATTAAATTAACAAAAATTAAATCATCCTAACGTCAAACATTTTAACATAAAATCATTTATTAGTCTTATCACATTAATAACGAAGAGTATATATATATAATGCAATTTAAGCATTTTTATTTTATATAATG